CGATAATTTATTTATTTGATCAGGCATATAACCATATGTGTGGTGTATATAGAAAATGCAGCACTTTTATTTATTTTATTTTAATGATTTAAATAGTAAAGGAGTGACAGGAGTTAACATTGCCTGCTGCTGAGATTGTCTGATTCACACAGTAAGTAAACTAATATGTATAGCTTTACTTGATTTTATCCCTCGTCAATAATTTAAGTTAATTACATTTGACACAGTGCTGTAAATGTGTTTGCTATCTGAGTAAATTACAATTCGACAAACATTAGCTAGGACCTGCTAGCCCCCTAGCTAGCATGACGTTCCTGCTACAAGCTAACCTAGCTAACGATATTTCAGGATCATAAATGCAGCCACAGTCATCATATAAATAAATACACGTTTTATTCTACAAAGATAGAAGGATGTTCCAGTATATGGTATTGATATGCTGTCAAGTAACAATAGTATTTTGTTTATATAACAAATGAATAGCAATGTTATAAAGCTAACGTTAGCATTGCTTAGAGAAAAAGAGGGAAATGCAAGCTAGTTCCATTAACAGTAAAACAAAAAGGATATTTAATGGCTTTTACACTTAGTAAACAACATGTGCTTATTTGAAATATGTTATTGCAGCGTCTGTTTGCTTTTCCTTAGATGTTGGCATGTAACGCTCTAGAATCCCTTATTGTGGCTAGCCTAACTAGTGTGAATTAATTAACCAGTGGTGGAAAAAGTATTCTGATTATTTACTTGAGGTAAAGTACCAATACCAAGTACTGCATCGAGAATCGTACTTCAGTAAAAGTATTTAAGTACGATTAGGAAGATGGACTTAAAGGTGGGGTAGGTAAGTTTCAGAAACCGGCTCGAGATACACTTTTTGTTATATTCCATGGAATGCTCTTAACATCCCGATAGCAATGAATATCTTAAGTGCTTTGACAAAAAATCCATATAAAAATGTCATCTGTGGAACCCGTAATACTGTAAAAAGTACAACGATTGCCGCCCTGTCTGTCAGCCTTCCATCTCGTGCACGCACAAATGTATCTCGTGCCCTCATTGGGCGTGCATTGCAGCAGTACTTCAATGACTCGCCAGCAACAGGCGGCCACTTTCACCAGTCTGCTGACGTCATGTGCGCGTTCATGTGTGTTGGAGGAGGTGCTCTGTAAGGAAGTCTGAAGGAAGGGGCGGATTATTTTCGGCTGTGTACTTTCAAATGTTAGTGCACTCGAGCCGGTTTCTGAAACTTACCTACCCCACCTTTAAAGTATTACGACTAAAAGTAAAAAAACAACAACTTTAAAAATATTAAATATTTTAAATAATTTAAAGCAGAAGCACTTCACTTTTAAGAAACTGGAACTGTGAAATATATTTAAACAACAAACTTCTTAGCAAGATTGCTGCCAATTAATTTTCTGTTCACCAACTCAGTTTTAGTAACTTAAATATAATGTTGGTTAGTTTCATCTTTACCAAGTATTGGTAAAGTATCATATTTTAAAAGTGTTTCATAAGTATTGTGTGAATCTGAAAAAGTACATAGTAAATACATCTGTAAAACAAATGCAGTGGAATAAAAAAAGTACAACATTGTCTTCCAAAATGTAGTGGAGTAAAAGTATGGTAGTAACATATTTAAATACTTGGAGATAACATAGAATAAGGGTGGAAATACATAGTTATATGCAGCCAATTTTGAAAATGCTGTGCTGAAGTTCTAGTTGGGTTTAACCAGAGCCATATAATAGAAGAGTTACGACATCTCCATTCACTCCAATGGACCAGTTTTTTTACAGCAATGGCGGATCGTGGAGCCTCTCAATAGTTCCCCGGAAGTTAGCGGATCTGCGGCTAGCAGTCTATGGTTGCAGCATAATAGACCGTTCGTGATGGACTTTTGAAGGTAAGAAGACGTTTAAAGATTTATATTGCGGATATTATCAGAACATCTGAATCAAATTAACTACACATGTGTATTAAAGGATGTTAGTGGATTATCCCTTCAATCAGTATATTTATCGTTTACAGATAACAGATTAGACTAGGATACCGGATAAAGTTAGCAACACACGTTAACCACGAACAGCCTATTAATCCGTTCTCCTAATGTTATTTCCTCCAACGTAGTGGAATTAGAGAAAAGGGGCTTCTTAACGTGCTTTTATCCGGGGTGGAGGGAGTTACATATTAGTTAAATATAACATTGGGGCGTGTGATTGTAGTGGATGGAGAAATGAGGATATCCATCTTGGAGTTCAAGCTATTATAATATAGTTATAACCCTAACCCAGAGGTCAGCGGGGGACAACAAGCTTCATCCGTGTGCATATCTCTCCCGTAAGCTATCTTCTGCTGAGAGGAATTACGACGTGGGAAATCGGGAACTGTTGGCTGTGAAGATTGCTTTGGAGGAGTGGCGGCACTGGTTGGAGGGAGCGGAGCAGGAGTTCCTGGTCTGGACGGATCACAAAAACCTGCAATACATCAGGAAGGTCAAACGTCTGAACTCTAGGCAGGCCAGATGGGCTTTGTTCTTTAATAGATTTAGGTTCACTCTGTCATATCGACCTGGTTCGCAGAATGGAAAGCCTGATGCACTCTCCAGAATGTATGATCCTGAGCCAGTCCCCAAGAGTCCAGACCCCATTCTGCGGCCAGAAATGAGGGGGACGGATCGGGTAGTGGCAAGCCCCCAGGAAGTGCGCCGGAGTCTGATGAGAATATTCGTTGTGGCCAAACGGTGGTACTACACTTCCTTTAGGTTGCTGGGCCCGGAAAGACTTTTTCCCATTGACTTACATTGGGAAAGAGTGGTCTGCAACTCGTTGGATAATTTTTTTTAAACTAAATAAACAACCCAGTATGAACACTTGTATAGCCCTTATTAAAAACATTCGTTCCTCAAGTTGTAAAAATGTGCTAATAACGTTATTCTGAGAGTTATTTCCCTCTGCATTATGAACGCGCATCTAACCCACGGGACCGGGCCGCCCGGCACGTTCAAGTTACGTGTTCAGCACTACATGCGTTTATCTTTACCCATGGATGCACAATAAGAACGGACCCATATCGCATTACTGCCATCCCACGGAGCTGTAATAATGGATATATTGCACATGTTTGCTGCAATTCATCATTTGTAAAATATTATACTACATGGGCTGTATGATTAAATCTTGTACCGTAAATGTTGTATTAAATAAAGTTAATATTATCGACGTTAGATTAACGTCCCTGTAGCTTATTATTGCACTAAGAAGCTTATTGCACTGTGTGTATATATATATATATATATATATATATATATAGACAGTGCAATAATTATTTCATGCTAATTGAAGCTCTGTTGGATATCACTAGATCCTGTTACAGCGTAATAGAAGTACATAACGATTGATGTGTACATTAGCATAATTACTAGCTAGCTGCTAACTGCCGCCTCGTTAATATCAAATCCATCATAATAACAATCCATTACCATGCTGTCATGAACGCACGGTGCTGTTACGTGTACGCAAATTGACGTGCTTGATGTGAACGAGCATTTTGGTTAAAGTTGCGCATGCGCTATGAGCGCACATACGGGTACTTCTCAGGCATGCCGGGTAATCTGTGACGTTTTACTCTCTCAAAAGTTGGGCCATTTTATCATCATGCGCTAATGAGCAACTCTCATAGGAATGAATGAGGCCCCGCCTCCCACGCTGTATCCAGTTCTTATTATACATCCATGGGTAGTGACAGTAGGCTTGTTTGAGACAAGCGAGACCTGCGCAGTTGCGATCAACATCTTGCTAGTGCGTTGCATGATGGTTAGTCATTTTGTCCGACTTGCTCTGGAGGCTCGCCTACATGAGACGTTGAAATCTCGCGGGACAAAGACGCCCGCAGCCTTGAGAGCGAGGCGCGGCGAGGCGGCGCAGTTCCTCTCCACGGGCTGCGGAAGCGAAATGCTTGATGGGAAAGGACTCGCTGGTATCTCGAGCTGAGCGCTCATTGGTGGTTTTTACCACGTGCTGGTGATTAAACTCTCCCATTGGCTCGGCAAAAGTTTGTTGTTGTTTTGTGTCAGTTTTACGTCGCCCCATCCATTCCCATTTTTCATCATTGTTCCACAATGTTTATCATCATGAAATTAATATCTATATATTTTATACTATACTTGCACTGCTTACCGTTTTCATACTTTATATATCTTAGCATATTCATTCACACTGTTCATACTGCTCACAGGCTGCTGTGTATATCTAGTGTATTCATACCCCTCAGGCCCTCACTGTTTATTCATCATTCAATTCATTCTATATTTTATTCTGTAGATTGTGTACATTACTTTTCACTTTACTGCTTGTTGCACCTGGTTAGAAGCTAAACTGCATTTCGTTGTCTGTAATATGTGCAACAATAAAGTTGAATCTAATCTTGAGCAGGAACAAATGTATTTACTTCCTACATATCTGACATTAACGATTAAACACATGTGTGCATTCTTTATAAATGCAAACCGAGTCAAACCGACTCCGGAGGTGGCGGTATGCACCTTAAAGTTGTTTGCAATCCGCCAAAAAACCGAGAGAAGAAGAAGAAGAAGAAGAAGAAGAAGAAGAAGACGAAGCCGACTCGGAGCTGTCCGACTTCAGGCGAGCTTTTTGAGACCTCCCCCGGCTGCGATCGGCTATTCTCGTCTACTTTCGAGGCGAGCCGTAACGCGTCTCAAACAAGCCTAGTGTTTTTGTTTCTGTTTCCTAGTGATTTTATTTTTTGTTTTGAGAAGTAGAAAATGAAAATCATCCCGTTTTTTTAAGTTTAGTAAATCCCTTTTTTACCATGATAAAGAAAAACGCCTTGTATTTCAATTTTAAAACGAAAATTAAATATCCACTCGTTTTTTGTTTTTGAATAACCATTTGTGAAAAGAAAATCCAATGACCAAAACATACACTGATAGGACAGAAGGACAGAGAGATATAGAGAGGAGGTGGGGGAAAGACTGTGGTTGTCAGTAAGAGGAAATGAGACAGAAAGCTGCTCACTCATCTCACATACAGCTCAGTGAACGCTGTCAGTGTATTACTACTACTATTTCATGTCGTATATCTGCTACCTCTAAATCGACAGGAAGCAGGCTAACAGAAACTGCGGGTATCTGTCTCCTCAGGTGTGTTCAGCCTCTATGCCCATATCAGGAACCTGCGCACCTGTGAGCTGACGTCACACGCTGAAAGTACCTGCAGCAACTCGCCCAGCTGCACTCAGTCAGTAACTTCCTTCAGGAGAGGAGACAAAGAAGACACGACGCAAACTCGTCAAGGAATATATTTATTATTCATTACATTGCGAGGAATACTGAAAGTGGAGTACAGGCAGATGGGGACCGCTCAGTTCGCGGTTTTGGGAATTTTAATCGCCGTTTTTCAGGTGAGATTTCCGGCTGTAACTTTATTTAAACTCTTCTACTGCTTCTGCTCATTTCTGTCGATAAATGTACTTGGTACATTTTCTTACCATATAATACTGATAGGACACTATTCGTATGTGTTAAGAACAGTTCGTGTCTTTGGAAATTGTAACGTTAAGTTATTTCGTTTTTTATTCCAGTAAATTATTTAGTATTTGTCACACCACTTGCCGCAGTTCTGCACTGTATTTGACTCAAAGGAGCCAGGTTGTTGGGGGGAGGTAATGGCGAAATTCTATTTAAATTGGTGCTGATTCGACCATTTAACAATGCTGCGAAACATCTTGTGTAATTTAAAAGCAATATGTAGAAGAGTCTGTCAACCCATTGGGTACAAGCAGCACCAAATCGCCATTTTCGGAGTTGACTCTCACTCTTCCTCCCTGGAGCATTGATGTATAATAAGAACTGGATACAGCGTGGGAGGCTGTGCCTCTTTCATTCCTATGAGAGTTGCTCATTGGTGCATGAAGACAAATTTGCCCAACTTTTGAGAGATAAAAACGTCACGAAAGTATTCATATAATCATATAATCCATTCTCATTGTGCATCCATTGGTAAAGGTAAAACTCATGTAGTACTCAACATGTCCCATGAACGTGCCGGGCGGCGCGGTCCCGTGGGTTAGATCTGCGTTCATAATGCAGAGGGAAATAACTCTCAGAATAACGTTATTAGCACATTTTACAACTTGAGGACCGAATGTTTTTAATAAGGGCTATACAAATGTTCATACTGGTAGTTTATTTAGTTTTAAAAAAAATATTCAACGATTTACAGAAGTCTCTTTAATCAAAGCGAAAAAGTCTTTCCGGGCCCAGCGACTGATACGGAAGTATAGTAATGCCGTTTGGCCACAACGAATATTTTCCTCAGAGTCCGGCGCACTTCCTGGGGGCTTGCCCTGGAGTCGGTAGTGTCTGTCACTACGGTCACTACCCGATCTGTTCTTATTATACATCCATGATCTGCAGCCCTGCCCGATCTGCAGTGCGCATAAGCGAGATGGTCCGCCATATTGGACAACTTCGTACGGCATCCCAAGAAGGACACTTGACACAGTGGCTTTTGGCAAAGCTCAAAAAGAAAACTTGAGAGAGATGAGTTATTGTTATTACAACGTGACTTCACTATTATTTAACTACTCTTTCTATTGGGTTCTTTTATTTGGGGTTAAGTACATTGTCAGAATAAGTGAGAAATTGATTTAACTTCTATTAGACAGCTAGGCTATATGCCATACATTTTTGCATACATTCACAGTAAATATTTATTCAGTATGATAGCTGTCTAACAGAAGTTAAATTCATTTCTCACTTATTCTGACAATGTACTTAACCCCAAATAAAAGAACCCAATAAAAATAGTTGTTGTTCTACTTGGGTTGCCGTCTGGAGTTGTCCAATATGGCGGACCATCTCGCACATGCACAGTACAGATCGGGCAGGGGGACAGATCGGGTAGTGACACTGCCCATCGATGGGTCTGCCACAGGGGCGGCGCCAGGGGGGAGCTAGGGGGTGCTGAAGCACCCCCCAGGATTGCCAAAGCACCCCCAAGAAATATGTTTTTTTTCCCGAAAATTATTATTATTTTTATTAAATTAAATCAGAAAAATTATTGATTACATCAATGCAAATGTGAAACAAATAAATGTTTGACCAAAAACATAAAGCCAACACAGGTGATATGATTAGGCCAATGGCCAGCACCCATTCGATTTTTGACCTACCCATAGGGTAAATTACTTTGTGACACTTGAGTGACTTCCTGTTAGCTGGAGCCCCAAATGATTTGCTAACAGCAAAGTGACAAATGGATCGTTTTTTAGTCCTTAAACGTCCACGTGTGGACACTCAATCAAAACCACCTGAAAGCGAGAGGGATTCTGCACATAATAGGCCTCGTGAGTACAAGTAGCTTACTTCTGGGTCTGTTTCATTCAAGCTCTGCTCTGTGTGTGTGTGTGGCACGATCCATTTTGTGTGCGTGCGCAAGCGAGCGAGAGAGAGAGCTCGCGCACCGGTGGGTATCTACCGGAGATCGTTGTGGTTAGCATCTGGTGCTAGCTAGCCAAGCTAACGGATATAAAGAGCTTTTTCAACAACAAGGTGGAGGGAGAACTCTCTCCTGTCAGACGGAGAGTCTCAGATAACCTCAGCTCAGGTGAAGTAAAGGACTCAATGTTTAGTTAACTTTAGTCTAGTTATCTCAGTGGGTCTCAAACGGTTTGTTTTAAAAGGGGAGTGATTTGTAAAATATCTATAAAGAAATAGAAAATCTGTTTACAGTTCTGTTTCATATGTATGTTGAGAGATACTGTATATCCATAGATCTCTTCATTTTGGCTCTCAAAGTGCACCAAATTGATGCTTTTAACTTCAATATTTAAAAATAAACTAGAGGAGGTGAGGTCCACTCCCCACTTGTAAAAATAGCACTTTACCCCTGCATATGCCGTGAGCTGATTACCGAGCCTTCATTGTAACAGTCGCGGGCACACTGTGTGTGTGTGTGTGGGGAGTGTTGCAGTAGAAAATTCAACTGTAGCGCTGGTTCATTAATGGCAAACCCTTAATGTTTGAGCACCCTCTATGAAACGTCAAGCTACCCCACAGCACCCCCTAGAGCAAATCTCTGGCGCCGCCACTGGTCTGCCGGCCTCGCCCTGTGCCGTTGATGACGTTGTCTGCAGGTTGAATTCCAGCCCAACATGTCTCAATTGAATTATTTTCATTCACACATTAGTCATAAGTCGTTTTTATATATGAATTGCTATGATGAAATAATCATTTCAAGAACAAGTTTATTTTACAATTTTGTGAATGATAGATTTAAAAGAATCACATTTTCTTATAACAACCTTTTTAAGTCCTGTGTGAAGTCCTTCACAGCAATTCTGATGATTATTCAATTGTTACTTGAACCACCTACCAAATATGAAAATGTAAATTTGCTGATAGTGCTCTTTAAAATAAAGAAATATATTTGTCTTTGACCTTTTGATATGATTTTAATAAATGGTTGGACAAAATACACAATTTAAAGTCCTTACTCACCTGGAGATCTTAGTACTTTTAATGCAATTGGTTGTTTTTACATTGTCTTGTTATATCATAGACCATAGATCAACAAAAAAACGGAGATTGATCCCTGATGGAAATATCTGTTATGTGCAGCCCAAAAAATAACCCCATGACAGTCATGGGGTTATTTTTTGTGCAGCCCAAAAAAGAACCCCATGACAGTCATGGGGTTATTTTTTGGGCTGCACATAACGGAGAAACACTTCACAATGAGTCATGGCATGACTTTTTAGGACGCGTCACCGTGGCACTCACCGTGACCTCAATTATTGTATTAACTGAACCCAGTTTTTGGTCAAATGGCATCCCTCAAAGTAGATGACTAAGTGGAGAGGTTCTTTGTTTGGTTTCTGTTAAAAGGATTCAGTAAGTGTTTTGTTAAAGATGACGTCATTTTCATGCTGCGTTGTAATGGCGACCATCTGAGAATCCTGCCGGACTGTCCGCATGGGAAAACAAATAAAGTACCTGCTACTAAAATTGATTGGAGTTAAGCAGAGCTGCTGAGGAAACGGGGCATACATGTTGTATACTGTTTTGATAACAAGGAGTGCCATTTTAAAGTTCCTTAACAAAATCCGACTAAATAACAGTTCTTGTCAGCTACTGTTTACCCATATTCCATACATCTGGATTTATATTGAATTGAAGTCTGTTTCCTCTCTTAGGCCTCTGTCTTAGTGCCTGCCGAAGAGCCAACATGTGTACCTGGATTCAAGTCAAGCAGGTTCATTTTCAAAGTGTCCACAAAGTTCCTGAAGCCACACACAAGACTGGGAAAAGGTAGGAACAATCTGTGAAGCTTTCACTCTTTGGTTAACACTTCAAGGTAATTGGGTTGTTTGTTTCCCATGTTCAATGGGAACATTTGAACTATAGCATTTGGATCTATAAGTTAAAGCCATAGATAAAACTCCTGAGCTTTTCTAACGTGCTCGACTGACTCAGATTGCCGTCTACAGATTAGCTGCTCACATTGTTCTCACTCCCAAACTACCTCAGGTCTCAGCTTGCACCTAATGCTCTTACCTGCAGGGTACAACAGTGTCCCTGAGCCTGTTCTGCAGGATGTGCTATTCAAATAGTGGCTTATGTCTGATTGTGAAATCTTTGCTTGTTTATGACAATGTTCTACAATAATGAACCAGGCTACTGGTTTGCTCTGGGAGGTTTACGATTTGTTTAACCAGTTATTTCGAATCCATTGTCAAATATTAATGTAGAAGTAGATTTTTTTACCAAAAGTCACAACTGAGAAAAACCAACTACAGCAGTCAAAGTTATCAACATCTTTACTTCACTATACTGCTTATTATCTCTTAGTCACAGCCACTTAGAAAAATGCCAGCCCCACGATACTGGCTATCCTGTGCAGGGTTGCACTAGAGAATATCCCAGCATGCATTGGGCTAGATGTTGGGGGGTGAGAGCACACGAGTGAGCTGCGCTTTAATTCAAGGTTGCCTTTTGGTTGATCCATGGCCCGAGTTGGGCTTTTCTTTGCTATCACAAGCTTCCTGTAGCAAATCTCGGGTGGAATCTCTTCTTAGTCTTGCTGCAGAAATCAGACCGTGTTATTTGATTAGTTTTCTCTTTTTATTTGATCCTTTTGCTTTCCTTTTAGCATGGCCATCAATAAGTTATAAATACACTCTTCTCTTTAATCCAGTGTCGAGAAAGTGTTTCTTTAGTTGACTTTTTTTAGTTCCTAGAACATCTGCTTTTCTCCATTGCCAGCTCTTGCTATGTTTCTCTGAATGTACTGCATTTGTAATGTATGACCATTTCTTCTGTTTAATTCTAGTGGCCTTCACTGACTGCACAGACCGCACCATATTTGTCTTCAAAAGTGATGACAGACATTTCACGGTACAGGGAGACGGCATACTGAAGGTCAGTACACATGTAAGGCTCAATTGCAAAATGTGATCGTCATTGAGATTACAATTTCTAACCATTATTAATTGATATTGTGACAGAATATTTGTATTGAACATACACATTTTAAATAGCACAGCACTGCTTTAACTTCCTTGTTGTGCTACAAGCCTGCATTTTGCAAAATACAGCAATATTCACAGTCAGTTTTGTAGGCTACATTTAAAAGTTATTGCACCAATCTGGTCTTCGATGATGACTATTGTCTTCCCTCCAGGTGAAAGAACTTGTACATATTCGTGGGAACCAGGATTTCTTCGTCCACACCTGGACCTCTCAAGGACACAAAATTAGTGTTCCTGTCAGAGTATTGCATCATAGCAATCACCATGGAGACCACATACACCACAACCACCAGCACCATCACCACCACCATACTAAAGTGGACCCTGCTAATAAGACTCAGGTAGGATTAGTGACACTATTGAAAGGGTGTTTGAGAATACATTTTTAGTCTTAATAAAACTATTTTCAAAACAATATATTAAATATATATACACACACACACACACACACACACACACACACACACACACACAACACCTGTTCATAACAACACTGCCCCTCTGTGGCTGCGTATGAATAGCCAACACTCACTGCTTCCATTTAGTTATTGTGAGTATTTTCATAGGTAAGCCATTTTAGATTGATACTAGGACTACTTATTTGTTTATTAGTGCCTATATTAAAGTTCTTAGCACCTTATGTGTTAATGAAGGCTATAATTACATTTCTCTGCAAATGTTTCTGGTCCTGTGGGACGCTTTGCAATAACCATTGCTGTTTAAAGAGATGATGAGATAAGTATTAGTATAACAGTTTAAAAAAAAAAAAAGTCTGTGGCCAAACAGCCTTTGTGCTAAAAATGTGCTTGAATTTGCCTTATTTAATGCAATTATCATTTATGTTGCTACCCATTTTCTGAAGTTGATGTCATTGTCCGCTTTGTGTATGCCTTCATCTTGTGTGTTAGGTTTCTTTAGCCTGGATGAATAAAATACTTTAAAGTCATTCTGTCAGAAATGATGACACAGTATATAATAGGATATAGTACAAAAGTAACATGATCAGATATTTCTTCATTGTCATTGTAACTTCTCTGTTTCAGCACTTTAGGCTAATGAGTCCAATGTGGAATGTCTGCGGCAAAATAACTGACTATTATGAGCATGTTCTTTCAGAGTGTCGCCGATCAGCCGGTGCCCATTCTGCATTTCCGCAAAGCTAGTGCAGGGCTGAGGAGGAGGAAGAGAGACTGGGTCATTCCTGTCATCAGTGTTTCTGAGAACGTCAGAGGACCCTTCCCACTGAAAGTCTCTCAGGTAAGAGGAACTAAAACCCCTTCATTCTAATCTGTATATTAAATCTCTGTTTCTGTAAAGGAGGGCTCCTTCATGGTTTCTGCTGCTGTCATTCTGCTCTGATTCTTTTTTTCGATTTAATGTCAATTTAAATATAGCTTCAAATGTTCTTGTGGTCGTCTCTCTCCACTGCTCTCAAAATAAAGCCAATGTTACATTAATTCAAACAAAACAATCACCTTGTTTTATTGTACAAAAAGTTGCTTTCTAATGAAAAGTCTAATCGTCCTTTCAGGAAATGAAATGGTATATTTGTTCTCAGGCGCTCTGTGGCTGATATGACCCCACCCCTGTAAAGTTGACTGAGGTGGCTGTATCTCAGAGATGTTAATGCAGTTTAATTCAAACTATTGTGACAATATTTTTGCATTATTGTAACTCATATATTCAGCCCTAACTCAGCCTTGTTGCTTTTTTCCAGATCCGATCCAATGAGGACAAGGTAAAGAAGATCTTCTACAGCATCACTGGTCCAGGAGCTGATCAGGAACCTGTTGGCCTGTTCACCATGGACAGAGACTCTGGCACTCTGTACCTCACACAACCACTGGATAGAGAGCAGATAGATGTATACAAGGTGAGCACGTCTTGGTTTTATACACACACTCTTTGTTTCAGGATCAGAGAGACACATCTGGATGTGCTTTGTGCTCAAGTTCCCTTCAGAATGTATTAGTTTAGAATCTGAATAAACAAAACAAGTGTAATACTACTACATACAGGTGCATCTCAATAAAGTAGAATTTTGTAAAAATGTAATTTAATTTAAATTAAAAGTTTCCAGCGTTTATTTGTTTTAAACTTTGTGATTACGCCTTAAAGCTAATGAAAACCCAGAAATCTGTATCTCAGAACATTTTGAATATTAGATAAGACTGATACAAAAACTGATTGTTAATACAGAAATGTCGGCCTTCTGAAAAGTATGTTCATGTGTTTGCACTCAGTACTTGTTTGTGCCTCTTTAGCATGAATTGCTGCATCAATGCGACGTGGCATGGAGGCGGTCAGCCAGCTGCACTGCTGAGGTGTGATGGAAGCACAGGGTGATCCGATAGCGGCCTTCAGCTCGTTTGCATTGTTGGGTCTCGAGTCGCATCTTCCTCTTGACAATACCCCATAAAGGTTCAGGTCAGTTTGCTGGCCAATGAAGCACAGTGATTCCATGGTCATTAAAGCAGGTATTGGTACTTTTGGCAGTGTGGGCAGGTGCCAAGTCCTGCTGGAAAAGGAAATCAGCATCTCCAGTCTTTTCAGAAGAGGGAAGCATGAAGGGCTTTATGGGGTATTGTCAAGAGGTAGATGAGAGACACGGGACCCCACAGTGCAGACGAGCTGAAGGCCGCTATCAAAGCAACCTGTGCTTCATCACACCTCAGGAGAGTCACAGGCTGACCGCCTCCATGCCACGCCGCATGGATGCAGTAATTCATGCAAAAGGAGAGCCAACCAAGTACTGAGTGCAAACACATGAACATACTTTTCAGAAGGCCGACATTTCTGTATTAAAAATCTGTTTTTGTATTAGTCTAATGTAGTAATCAAATTTCCATTAGCTGTAAGCCTTAATCATCAAGATAAACACTTGAAATAATTCACCTCGGTAATAAATCTATATAATACATGAGTTTTCACGTTTTGTAAATTGAATTACTGAAATGAATGAACTTTTCCACGATATTCTAATTTATCGAGATGCACCTGTACTATTTTTGACTGATGAGACCAATCACAGCCGTTTAGGCTTGTCAAACGACACCTATCCAAAAATAATAACTCTTGGTACCAAACACTTCTTCTGTTGGTGCTAGGGCTGCTCAATTAACTGTATTTTAATCGCAATTATGATTTTGGCTTGCAACGATTATGAAAACAACATAATCGAAATAAAACGATAATTTTGTATTGGTTTTTCAGTTGAATTATACTTACAGTTCAAGGTAATCAACTGTTAAAAACATTCTGTTCACATTTTTTAATAAATTGATGTTTTCAAAGTAAATGGATAATCGTTTTTAATAATCGTGATATCAATTAATGACCCAAATATTCAAGATTATGATTTTTGCCATAATCGAGCAGCCCTAGTTGCTCGACTCGGGACGTCATTCCATATCATCCTCTATTATCACATCCGAAAACAGTCTCTATGCATGCTAGCGATATGAAATGGATAAATGGCTATATCTTTCATATATATAGTACTATAATATAAATGTTTTTGTTGTATGCAGTTCCTAGCACACGCGGTGGCAGATGATGCAGGAAAGGGCGAGGAACCAATGGAAATTAATGTGAAAGTGATTGACCAGAACGACAACAAACCTATTTTCTCCCAAGACACCTACCTGGGGGAAGTGGCTGAGGCCTCAGCAAAAGGTACCGTCAGTGATTCCCAAAATATGTTTCCAGATGAAACTATGGCTCTAGGCCAGAAAAACAATTGTCTCAAGAATGTTTTGGTTTCTAAATCTACCTGTGTGCATGATGCATAATAGTAGTTAGTGATCATATTTAGGGTTAATTTGTTTACATTATATGGGGTATGACGACTCCAAAATGACTTCGCTGACTGAGCCAGAGCACAGCACATTCACATAGTTGGGTTAGAAAGAAAACCATCATACAAGCCCAACTTTATTTCTTTAATCACCCTTTTTTTAAAAATTTTTTAAAGGGGACCTATCCTGCAAGATGCACTTTTTGATATCTTTATACATAAATATGTATCCCCGGTGTGTCAGGGAACTCGCGCAGCGTCAGAAAATAAAACCCTCTCTCTTTAAACGGGGCTACAACGGAGCTGATCCAGCTTTTCATCCGATATGACATAATATCGGAAATTCTGACCCACGGCACTATCAGAAATGTAACCTATCAGAAACAATGCCAGACTGTTTTGGACGTAATATGGTCTTTGTTTACATTAGCAAGCATCGCTAACACTCAGAGCTAACCTAGCCTATACTGGAGAGAGCACACGTGTGAAGAAGCAGGATATAAAAAGGAACTCGCCTTGTGGTAAACCGGCAAGACGGAACGCCTTTGAGCTCCATACTGTTTCAGAAATAATCCTTGATGTGGTTTTGAACAATATATGGCGTTTCATCACGGCAGTATCTGCCAGTATGAGCAGGCATAAACGTTGCGCCCTCTTCTTTTTTTTCTCAAATATATATATATTTTTTAAAGCTTTATACTTGGGCTGAAGTCGAATAGTCCATTTAGCTTAGGAACCTTCCTAACGGAGTGAAATGACCCGGAAGTCCCTCAGTGGCAGCCATGATAAGAGCCGTTCCAATTCTCTAAATGAAAGGAAAAGAGGTTTCAAACTTCCTTTATAACCTCCTTTAGCTTAGGAACCACTGGACCTCCCTAACCGAAAGGAGAGGAGAAAATGCTGCCCCACAATGCATTGCAGCCGCAGCATTTGCCGTCACTCAACAGTCGGCCGTTCACGGAAACAACCGATTATGACGGAGAAATGATATCATGAAAGTTACGGTGCTTATTAAGCATTTTAAAACGTATGTGGTAAGTTGCCAAAGTGCTTTGTTTTGAACGTTCATCAGTATTATAATCAAAAAGAGAAATATGAACGTTAGTTTTTACTGAAATGATCAAATAAAGTCAACATCTCACAGTCTTTACTGAGCTGTGTGGGGTTTGTTCAACTTTTAAAAGATGTTTGAATGGTGATATACACAGTGATAGATGTTAAGGACTAACGTTTATAATAAATACATTTGTATTGTTTTCAAGATATTTTAATAGTTCATACAATCATACGTATTGGGATCATTTGTATTAATGTGGACCGGAGGGAGAGGGTGACGAGCATAAGTTTCACTTTCCTTTTTTATTTCAATTCCAACTTTGGTCATGAAGAATATGTTTCTCTGTTGTCCACGTTCATAAAGCATAAAACAACAGCATCAGAGCACGGTGCAGATGAGTTTACAGTAGTCCCTCGTTCTTATTAAACATCCATGTTGTAGTCCGCTATAGAAAACTATAGTTTCCATAGTTTCCCCACAGCAGCAGACGCACATTCATGACGTCCGCTGGCGCATCATAAACACGTCGGATAGTGAAAGTGCATTCGGATTCTCTAAAGTACCGCAGTCTCTTCTCCTAAATCCTTTTGAATTCTCCTATCCACTATCCCTTAACCCCGTGACGTTTCACTCAGAGGTCAAGGAATAGACGATAGGGTTAGAATTTAGGAGCTGATTTTTGGATTATCCGACCGCAACCCCAGAATCAGCACTTTTGTAACAGGAAGTGAACTATAGGTATATGAGGCCTGGCTAGAATGGGTGATCTGTTTGGTATTTTGAGCAAAACAATTCAGAGACATGTTTTTTAATATATTTTATATATCTGAGACCTATGCTATTGCCTACAAATAGCATGATAGGTGACTTTTGAATAAAGTGTTCTGCGAACTTTGAAGAAACCTCTGAACATTATTTGCACTTTTCTCTTTTCAGGTTTTGAGGTGATCAAGGTTGTTGCCACCGATGCTGATGAGCCACTTACTGACAACTCGGATATCCTCTACAGAATTATAGACCAGGAGCCAAAATTGCCCGCAGACGACCTGTTTGAAATCAACCAAAATAACGGAGTCATCAGAGTCAATGCCGGTGGGCTAGACAGAGAGGTGAGACTTCTAAAACCAATTTCACCTGTGTGCTTTCACATTTAACCTTTTTAAATCACCTTTATTTCAGACAAACTAGTTTTATTTGGTTTAAGTACGATGGTTTAAATAAAGCTTGGGTGGGATTTTTCAAACTTTTTTTTTTTTAATGACATTTCACTGAAGTTATCTTGTGGCTATAAACTGCTTTTGTAGTTGGAAAGAGAAATGCCCCCAAACAGGGTCTGAGGCATTCTTTCTACTTTTTCCTGTAATGTTATCTTATCTTACGGTCGCTTGCCCCCCCCCCCCCCCGCCCTTGTTCTCACCATGGCCATTATTGAACTCCATTTTGATCAAAACTCCACATCTGTATAGCTTCTCGACTGCATCTTGTACGGTTGCCACGCTAACGCAGCGACAAATCTGTCTCTGCTGAGGCTAATGGGATTATACTAGACATTTCTACTTGAAGCTTTTTAATGGGTTCTTTGAAATTAGAGCAAATCATGTAAGGCTTCCAGTTGAGTTAAACTCCATGTGTCTCTTTTAACAGAAATACCCAAAGTACACTCTGGTTGTACAAGCCGCTGACATGAAGGGAGGAGGCTTGGAAGGAGAAACCAAAGTAATCCTTACTGTGACAGACAGCAACGACAACGCTCCGGTCTTCACTCAGCCATTGGTAAGTACAACATCCTTGTGACTGAAATGATGTCTGTCAAGCTAGTGGCTGGCAATTTCATTAGGTAGTGGTTTCAAACTGATGTATGAAAGCTCCAGTTTATAGACGGTCAACTTAAGGTCAATGACAGGTTTGCTGCAGAAACCTTTTTGGTGATGTAAAAGATTATTAGTAATAAAGACTGCTTCTTTTTCATTTTAGTAGTAGTTCTTGTAGGATCGGATCTCAGTATGGGTCCTGGAAGTTTATTATTTACATTATTAGCATTGAACTAAAGTGCATGAAGAAGATGGACCTTTTTATTGAGGAATTCAGTTTTGTATACATGCAAATGCTTCTTATATAGGTACATACAAATACACAGTTATGTCTTTTGTGCGCACATACAAATACACACAGTTGTACATACACACAGTTATACATTCACACATGCATTGAGAGGTCCAGAGAGGAGAGGCAGCCAGTCAACCCCTGTGGGGTTAGGTGCCTTGCTCAAGGGCACCTCGGCAGTGGCCCAGGAGGTGAACTGGCTCCTCTCCAGAACCAGTCCACACTCCGTATTTGTTTGGTTGTGAACTGGCGACCCTTCGATCCAAAGTCCAAGTCCCTACAGACTGAACCACTGCCGCCCATTATGAAAGCAGATCATAAAAACGTACTTTTGTTTAACACCAAGCATTTAAAAAAATCTTTGTCTTCATTATTTGTTTCACTTCTATCTACCCCCTCCTTCATTCCCCACAGTATGAGGCATCAGTAGCTGAAAATAAAGCGGACACTCTGGTCGTCACCATGTCAGTAACCGACAAAGATGAGCCACATTCCCCAGCCTGGAACGCCAAGTTCACCATCGTGGATGGTGATCCCGGAGGACTTTTCACAGTGAAAACAGGAACCAACAAGCTCGAAGGAATCATCTCTACTGTCAAGGTAGGAAGGAAACTAATATTGTGCATTCTCTCAGAATTCATAAAGTTTAGTGATTTTTACAATAAATGTATTGTTCTATAGTTGGTTTGCATTAACCTGCTCTGTTTGTCAGATAACAAACACTTACGTGTATTATCTCAGTAAAAAAAAGGTACCTTTGGGTTGTACAGCAGTGTGAGCTGTGATGAACTGTCACTTTGCTTTTTATCTTCCATCCAACCAGGGTCTCGACTTTGAGAAGAGCGGCACGCACACTCTGATGGTTGCCGTGGAGAATGAGGTTCCTTTTGCTACTTCTCTGCCCACTGCCACGGCCACAGTGGTGGTGACTGTGGAGGATGTCAATGAAGCTCCAATCTTTGATCCAATGGAGAAGCATGTGACTAAACGGGAAGACCTTGAGGTTGACGCTGATGTGGTGCAGTACACCGCCTCTGACCCAGACTATGCCCGAAAACAGAAAGTCATGTAAGAACAAAATCTCATGTACCGTGTTGTAACATTTCCTGTTGTTCTTAAACAAGCTTTAGGTGGTCCCTTCAACTCTCACCTCAGAAAGGCAACAGAGGGAATGTATTCATCACTAATGGCGCGTTTCCACTGCAGGCCTCGCTCGGCCTCGCTCGGCCTCGCTCGGTTTGGTTAGGCCTTATTAGGTCCGGCTCACTTTAATGCTGCGCTTCCATTACAGTTTAGGAACTGGGGCAGTTACTATAGTAACGCAGTGTAGGCGGAGCCGTGACGTCATCTTCAATGAGAGCCCCAGAAAAACAACACAGCTGTTAGCACTCAGAGCTCACAGCTCTTCATATCTGTTCAGAAACTAGACAAAAGTTAAACAAGTACAAACCACAGACTGCCTGTGTCATGGCGAATACAGTCGCTGGTTTATTTATGTCTGTATAGGCCGTTGTTGTGAGTGTGGACAGTCGGAGCATATATAACGTTAGCTTAGCCAAGCTACATTTAGAAAACACGCATTTTAAAAAGGGTTTTTCGCCTGCCGTCTGTCTGCAGACTTGTCAAAGCATTAATTCATGGTTTTTACTAACCGGTATCAGTATGTTGTTACTTCGGCATCATTTTGAAACGTGTATTACAATTAAATCACGGTCAAATATATTCATCTTGTTGTAGTTGTAGCCCCCATGCCAGCGATTCTCTCTCTAGTTTAGCATACTCAGCCCGACTCAGCCTGGTTGTTCCTGGCCCAAGAACCACGATTTAGTCGGGCCAGAAAAAAGGTGAAAAAGTAGCCCCGGGCCAAAACTAGGCCAAGTGGAAACGCAACCAAAAACGGGCCCCGCACGGCTCGGCACGCTTAAAGCGAGCTACCCGCTGCAGTGGAAACGCGCCATAACAGTCTGAGCCTGCTGATAGTGACTGTACTTCTTGATCGGACAAGCAACCATGCAGATGGTGGCGCAAAAGCTCTCAGGACAATTATGGGAATTGATAATCTAATGTTATGAATATACAGATTGTATTGTTTGTCGCTGATGCAATTATTCTTAACTTTATAGAAACTAGGGTGCAGAAAAGATGTACTCAATTTGAACATGTTTCTTTGTAAATGTAGTAAATAAAAATTCATTTGTTTAATTCTTTTTAAACATATTAGAGTTGAGATATGATTTGTCGTGGGATTAAATGCAATGTTTCTTTGAGTAAGATGTTGATCCTGCTTAAATGGAAGCCGTGCATGATGTTTCTGCTGGCTGCTCCTCCAGCTGTTAGAAAGCACCTTCACTTACATCTCATGCTAACTCGCTAGCTGTTGCTCTGCCGGCAGATTTCTGTCGAGCTGGTCCGACACATAGTTCCTGTTCCATCCTATGAGTAGCTTGATATCCTTTTCATCTTCTTGCTTTGAGATTATCTTAATAATTCAGTTTACAGTAGGTAATGATGCATCAAAGATTGTTCATTTCTGATATCTCGATGTTTTATTCAATTATTGCATCTTAAATAATCCTATATGTTTTAGTTTGTTAATGAGCAGCCAAAGAAAAATGTCTCAAAATTGCCACAATATCTAAGCAACACTTAGGGAAACGGTGACGCCCCAAGTTAAAACATGATATTGGTGAGCTGACTTGTATAATATTAACATGTTGTTGTTGTTTTGTTTATGTGCAGGTATAGAATAATTAGAGACCCCGCTGGCTGGCTGAGCGTGGCCAAAGACACAGGCCTGATCAAAGTAAAGAACATCATGGACAGAGAGTCCCTCTTCGTCAAGGACAACAAATACACCGTTCTCATTGGTGCATATGACAATGGTAGGTGGCAGTCAGGACCTGCAGCTGTATATGCTTGCCTACACTGGTTTAAAACAAATGTGGCTCTACCTCACTGTGATGTTTAAGCTTCTCTAAAATGAAGATGTTCTCCTGATGTTAATGTGTATGTCTGTCACCTCTCCAGATGAAGTCCCAGCCACAGGAACTGGCACTCTCATTATTCAGCTCGAAGATGTTAATGACAATGCGCCCACCATTACCGAACGTCTAATCAGGGTACGTTTCCTTTCCCAAGTGCTAAACCTTTTTCCTATTTATTTTTAATAATAATTGTATTAATTTGTCCATTTATGAAAATGATTAAATGTTCTTGCTTTAGGACTTTTGTTCTAACAGGATTCATTGTGTTTTCTCAGCTGTGTAACAAGGAACCGGCCTCCCACCTGCTGGCGGTGACGGATAAAGACGGACCAGGCTTCACTGCTCCGTACAGCGTCTCTCTACAGGGCCTGTCAAAGAGCAACTGGACCGCTAGGATGAATGCATCAAGTATGTACATTTTTAAATCACAACTGAATGGTTGTTTTCCACATGATCAAACACAAATGGCTAGTCCCAGGAAAAGCCTATAGGCCAGGGTCACCAACCTTTTTTAGGATGAGGGCTACTTTAAAAAAATAAAACAAGTCGGGGGCTACTTTTACTCTTTTTTGTGTTTTGCAGTGTATATATTTAGCACATTTTAACATTATTATATGCTGACCTTTAACCTTCGTGTGCTGTTTGGGTCTGTGGGACCCGTTTCCAGTGTTTACTAAAAGAAAATGTATGCAATTTAATTATTTTAACCTGCTAGAGGAGGTGAGGGGGGGGACCTCACCTCCTCTAGGGGGGTCCAGGGGCATGCACCCCCAGGAAGATTTGTTTTTAAATGTTGAAGTGAAATGCACTGGTGCACTTTGAGCACAACATGAATTTATGGATACAGCTCTCAACACTCAGATGAAAGGGAGATGTATACTTTTCAATAATCCAAACATCTTTAGAATATGATCACAAACAACAACAAATCATTTATACTTGTTTATTCTTATCTTATGTTACCTAGTTAGCATTCTTTCTTTCTATTTATGCATATTTTACTAATCACTCTCCTTTTAAACAGTTTTTTGTTTTTTGTACTGTCCTATACACATTGGAATGATTTCTTACTTTATCTATAATAGATAAAGGCTCTCTCTCTCACTCACGCTCACAGAGGCTGTGTCATCCGTGGCGATGACAGCTTGCGTTAAAAAAAAATAATAAACATATTTTAAAAATGGGGGGACACAAATGGGATTTCTAAAAGTGGGGGGGACATGTCCCCCCTGTCCCCAGTAGAGATTACGCCATGCGTGTGTGTGCGTCAAGTGCAATAAATAAATATGCAAGTTGCAACACACAGAGTAAAGCTCTGGCCCTCATGTGCTGTATAGGCTGGCACGACTAGGCTGTTCAATGGGGCTGATGTGTTGTGTAGATTCTGCCAGAAGGAAAGATCAAACTCCTTATGAAGCGGTGAGCTGCCGCTCCACATTGCTTTTCTTCCCGACTGCAACGCTGGTCCCGCAAATCAAGCAAGAACGTGATTGGTCGATATTCATTGTGGGGGGTGGGGGGAGGAGGGGTGTTAGATAGATTTAGAGTTGAAAAATGGCAATTATATAATGTGTTTTTTGTGAAAATATTGATGGAATTTGACAAAATAACAAACTGTGGAGAGAGTCTATAACATAAATGTCCCTTTATCTCTCTTTGTTGCAGAAACGGGCATACTCCTGCATTTGGCCACAGAGCTGCCCAGTGGAGACTACACTGTGGTCCTGAGGGTGGCAGACAACCAGGGCTTGGAGCAGGACAGCACGGTGCAGGCCAAAGTGTGTGATTGCACCGGAGAGGAAGTGGTCTGCAAAGGCCGTGTGGCAGGGGGCCCTGACTTGCCTGTCATTCTGGGAATACTGGGAGGCATCCTGCTGCTGCTCAGTAAGTCTCATATGAGATTAGTGTTTTGTCATAACTCCAGGAACGGTAGTTTTCATAAAGACATCTACAGTTGCAATGGAAATTATTCAACCCCCATTGCACATTAGGTTTATTGGCAAGATATATACCATTTCTCAAAAAAAAGAAAGAAATGTCCTTAAAATGTTTTACCCTGCATTGTGAGTTGTATAGAGAGAGAAGACGATTGAAAAGTTATGTGTATCATTTCTGTATGGCCAACATTTGTAGCTGTTGTGGAGTGCTACCTGGTCTGCTTTTCTAAAGTTTCTGCAGAGAGCAATTTAATAATATAACATAGCTTTGTAACCATGGAGGTCTATGGTCAGAGGAAGAAGAGTGGGTGTTGGTACACACAGAATACTAATGGTGCTTTTCCACTGCAGCGCGTAGCACTGTTTAAGCGGCCGGGACAACCCGGACCCCTTTTTTTTGCTTTTCCACTAGGGGTAGTTCCGGCTCAGCGCTACTCGTTCACCTTTTTTCTGGCCCTCCAAAATCGAGGTTCTTACCGGGCCAACAACCAGGCTGAATATGCTAAACTAGTGAAGTAAACACTCTCGACTGCTGAATGGTCAGAGAATCGCTGGCAAGGGGGCTACAACTACAACAAAATGAACATATTTGACCTTTTATTTAATTGTAATACACGTTTCAAAATGATGCCGAAGTAACAACATACTGATACAAGTCTGCAGACAAGACGGCAGTTGAAAAACCTTTTTAAAATGTGTGTTTTGAATGGAGATCGGCTAACGTTGTTTATGCGCCATCCACACTCACAACACAATAAACCAGCGACTGTATTCACCATGACACAGACAGTCTGTGGTTTGTACTTGTTTAACTTTTGTCTAGTTTCTGAACAGATATGAGGAGCTGTGATCTCTGAGGGCTAACATCTAACGGCTGATGTTATGGTTTTGTGGTTCGCATTGAAGATGACATCACGGTAGTTTTACGCACCGTCACTCCGCCCGCCGAACAGCCGATCTTCCCGCCTACACTGCGTTACTATAGTTACTACCCCAGTTCCTAAACTGTTAAGGAAATGCAGCACAAAGTGAGCCTGGCCTATCAAGGCCTAACCATAACCACACCGTGTTAATTTCGTCAACGAAAACTATGACGAAAAATGTTCGTCAACGACCGTTTTTACATGACTAAGACGAGACGATGACGAGCTAAAAATAGATTCTTGATAACGAAAACGTTGACGAAATGTATATTTAGTTGTCGTTGACGAGACGGGACTAAGGTGTTAATGGTGGACTATCGGACATTCAAAATGCAGGGTATTTTCCCCCAAGTCTCCATCTTGTCTGTCAAAATGCATCTTATGTTTCTAACTTGCAATATCATTATTTCCGCTCTCTTCACTCCAGAAGAGCAATCTCCCTGTGTCTCCCTGTGTGCGGGGGCGGGGCCTAACAGACACTATGCAGCGGACACAGAGATCTGCCGGGGACGGAGCGTTCAGAAGTATAGAGACACTCTACAAGGCTCGATGTGTACAAAGCTAGTTTGCCATTAGTGTTGGCGCGTTGACATGAGTAGAGTAGTCTGTCCAAACAGCTGGCCAAAAGGCATCATATGCAGTCGGAGAAATGCACAATTTTCGACTTCCTTAACTCTTAGCTCTGTTGCCCCAATTACGAGTAATGTTATCACATCAGGTGTGCAGAGGTGGGAGAAGTACTCAGATCTTGTAGTTAAGTAAAAAAATACCATAGTGTAGGAAAAGTTCCTCAAGTAAAAGTATGATCATCAAAATATAGTTAAAGTAGCGACAGTAAAAGTATTCATTGTGCAGATTGGTCCTTTTCAGAATAATATATATGATATGTTTTATAATGATTGATCATGAAAGTGTTCTCAAAGCTGGTAAAGGTGCAGCTAGTTTGAATGACTTTGTATACTGCAGGGTAGCTGGTGGATTTACTCCAGGTGGAACTAAAGTCTGATTCAACACTTGATTATATTTCACATCATTCATCCACATCTGTAAAGTAACTAAATATATATGTAATATATATGTATATATAAATACATGTAGTGGAGTAGAAGTACACCATTTACCTATGAACTGTAGTGGAGTAGAAGTACACAGTAGCAAAACATTTAAATACTCCAGTAAAGTACAAGTACCTCAACATTTTACTCAAGTACAGTACATATTTTAACATTATATATATTTCATTTATTTCACATTTTAAATAAAGAAATTAATTCGGTTAACAATTTGTTAGTTTTTCCGTTTAAAAAATAACAAAAAGTAAATACAAGAATACCGTTTAAGTACCGGATCGATCAGCAGTATCGATAAGACTAGTAGTACTGTAAAAAACCTTAACGATACCCATCCCTAGATATTACACAAGTAAAGTGTTAAGAGAGTGAAATGTTGCTTTACGAATTAACACTTGATGCTGTCACCTTGATTCCAATGTCAGAAACCTGTATTCGCCTAACTGAATTGGTTTAAAGAGAAAACATTTGGACTAAAATTAAATTTTTCATCGACTAAAACTAGACTAAAACTATGAAGGATACAAATTACTAAAATGTGACTACACGAAATGGTTATTAGTTTTTAAAAGACTAAATCAAAAACAGCTGCCAAAATTAAAACTGCCATACCGCATAAGCCGTGCGAGGTCCTGCAGTGGAAAAGCGCCATAAACGGCATGGCTCCTTTTTAAATGTCTGAGCCTGTATGATGATGATAATAATAATAATGCATTTTATTTATCTAGCGCTTTTGGCGCTGATGGTGGTAATGTGTTCTGCTGTGTTGTAATGTTCTTTGTGCTCTGTGGTTTCAGTGCTGGTGTTGCTGCTGCTTCTGTTTGCGAGACGGAGAGGAGGCGAGCAGAAGGAACCTTTACTGCAGGACGACGACATCCGAGACAACATCTATTACTACGATGAAGAGGGAGGCGGAGAGGACGATCAGGTAAATGAAGACAGAGGTTTGCTCCATTTCTTTCTGACAGGGCTCAGTCAGGTTCAATAAATGAAGTCATGTAAAAAGGACAATAAGTCACCCTGAAAAGTATTACTTATAATAATATAATCAACATTCAAACTGTTTATTCCTTTACACTTTATTCTATATGTCGTTTTGCATACATTTGCCACATCATGGTATATAACTGCCACAGCACTATGACGGTTGGGTAGAATACAGCATGTTCCATCTAAAAATATAAACAAGTTTATTATGAAAGCTTCATTATCTTTAGTTTAAACCCCTCCCTGTGCCCCCCCCCAGGACTATGATCTGGGTGTTCTCCACCGCGGTCTGGACAACCGGCCCGACGTCATCAGAGACGACGTGCTGCCAAACTTCATGCCGGCTCCTCTGTACCGGCCCCGCCCCGCCAACCCAGATGAAATCGGAAACTTCATTGTGGATGTGAGTCTAACATTCAAGCTCTGTTTCCCCACTGCTCCACGCTCGGCCTCCTTTCCCCAGTAGCACCACACCGCCACCAGGTGGAGGCCGACGTAGGTCGCTGTCTATGACCGATTTCAAAAATATATTTTATTATTAAAATGAGTTGGGCAGCTATAATTATACCGTGACGGTATGAAGTAATGTCTGCGTGGGAAACCCTGCTGCTTTTATAAATCAATGTGTTAGATAGGGAAAGTACATGTCCGTTTGAAATTAGGACGATATTACCACATTTATAATTCTAGATTCTGATCTAGAGCATTTTCTTTCTTCCAAATGATGGGTCCTTTCACAGCAGGATTTTTCATATATGGTTTGACAATTGTTGCATCATCCTCTATTTTTGAATCGTTCCTTGCATAACGGTGCTATAAATACATAGAGAAATTATAATGAGTTCTATTAACATTACATTGCATTTAGCTGACGCTTTTATCCAAAGCGACTTACAATAAGTGCGTTCGACCAACAAGATACAAGCTTGAAGAAAACAGAATCATATAAGTTCATATCAGGTTTCATAGAGCCAAACATTTCAAGTGATACTCAACTGGCTTTAGATAAGCCAGTCCTTTTTAAATGACGTCATGTATCCTCCTCTCAGAACCTGAAGGCCGCCGACAACGACCCCACTGCCCCCCCCTACGACTCCCTGCTGGTGTTTGACTATGAGGGAGGCGGATCGGACGCGGGAAGCCTCTCCTCCTTGAACTCGTCGAGCAGCGGGGATCAGGACTACGACTGCCTCAGTGACTGGGGGCCCCGCTTCAAGAAGCTGGCCGACATGTACGGAGGAGGAGAAGATGATGATATGCTGTAAACCAACTTTGGAACTAATGATAAGGATAGGTGGATGCACATATGGCTCTGTGAATGTAAAATTGATGTAACCATGAACTGATAAATGACTGCATCCCAGGGAAAGAGCAGCCCACAGATGTTCCTCTGTGGGGAGACGGAGCAGTCCTGTCCAGCCGCTGCTCAGGAGCCAAAGGATGACTTTCTTTTTCTAAACATGAGTTCCCCATTTAGAACCGTTGGGCTCGCTCCGCCTGTCTGTGGGATCCCTGTTTAGTTCTAGACTTTAGACCAACTGCTTTTTGTTTATTTCTGTTCTTTGAATCCTGGAGCCACATCATCAGTCTCTATGTTCCTTTCTGAATTGTGTGCAGATGTTTCTGCCTGTGTTGTCGCTGCCTGATGACACTGGACACGTACACAGATGCTTGCATTTGCGCTGGTAATGTTTCTATAATTGTGGCATGTATGGTACTTAATATTTTTCCCGTTTTTTTATTTAATTTTTATGGAGTTGGTACTGATTCAGTGAAATTGCATTGTTTTGTATTTCTGTTTGAGGAATGAAATCACAAATGATCAAGGGGAAACCCAGGTAGCAGCCTGCACCACATAACCCTGTAGGGGTGTGCTCAATGAGTTCTAAATAAATGCTTTTTAAAATGTTTGAAAAGTGTCTGTTCAGTTGACATCTTTATTACATTGAAATGTCAAAACACTTTGCTGTAACCTCCAATGTTACTTTATTGCAAACGCTTTGTTATTTGAATTTTTTTATAAAGTTATCTTAATACAATGGATTTGTGAATGTTCTTTTGTTTCACTGATGGAAATGAATCTTTCACTAAAACGCATCCGACATTCTTAATGTACACCAAAGCAGCAGTGGTAACGGAAGGAGAGCAGGTTCTTCACTTCTCTTGTGAGATGAGAATGCTAGACTTTTCTTCAATGAATTCCTTTGAGAATGAAGTTCAAACAGCTGCACAGGACTTTCCATGTTTACTTCAACCCAGATGTGTCCGTCTGTTCATGATGAGCATGTTGTCACCCCAGTGAGCTGACGCTAGAAACGGCACAGAGTTCCAGGTTCCTCTCCAGCTAATGGTACGCAATGTACAGCTCACTACCATAACCTGGATGAAAGTCAGCCACACAGGGTGGGTCTGCCTTGTCACAGCAGCCCTCGCCTCTGGGCAGGAAGTATGAAACTGGCTTTACAAATGTTTTCTTATTTTTGACAACATGCTTGAAATTTAAAAGTTTTGCAACTAAAACAGTTCAGGACATTTTTTTAGATACAGTAGCTAAAGAGGATCGTATGAAAATCACTCTTAATGTAACGTACTTAAAATAAAACATTTACAAATCAGTACCTGTAAAACAAGAGAATCAAATACACACAGAGTAAGAATGCTTCATAAAAGGCCAAACATTGCTCGTGGCAATATAATGTTTATAATTAATGTAATTTTAAACCATCCACCTCAAAAACCAAACAAACATGTCTCTCCATGTCAGAGCCACCTGCTGATGAAGATCTCTTCATGTCACACTCACCTGACGTGTGTGTGCATGTGAAGGTGGATGCTTAAAACAGGTTCTACTTGTACTTTTTTAAAGCTTTGTTTACTGTAAAGAATGCAAGAGTAAGATTCTAGTTGCTGAAAATAAATGTATACACAATTCAAATGTTTGCAAACTGCCTGTAAGGTAGATAGATTTACAAATCTAAATTTCCTTTGAAATCTTGATGGAAGTATGAATAAAAGGAATCGTGTAAGGGTCCTTTGAACTTGATCCCCTATATTATATGGTTTCAATGTTCTGGCTTTCATTCATTTAATACAAATAAATGATTAAGTGGCAGCTACTATTTTGTTATCACAATTATTAATGAATCCTGGTGTAGTGTTGGCGTGGAACCTTAGCTGATGTCCTCTCGTGCAGACTGATGCAGGTCCATACAGTCCACAGCTCTCTTTGAGCAGAACCACAGCGCCGGACTGACAGTCTCTCATATCTGGCTCTCATTAAGAAACTCTCCTCATCAGTGGTTCTGCAGAGGTTGGCTAACAGACTTAGCCTTGAACTTGCCTTTGTCCGTTCTTGTTGCTTCTGTGAATTCTTTTATTCTTCTGAGCTTTTGACCAAAGCTTTTGCAGCTCTCCTCAGCTTAGACCCAGACCCAGTCTTCCTGGTTGGATTCTTCCCAGTGTGCTTTAACACTAGAGTAGGACCGCCTACTTCCATCTACGTAACATTGCAAAAATCAGGCATATCTTGCCTCAAAACGATGCAGAGAAACTAGTCCATGCATTTGTTACTTCAAGGCTGGATTATTGTAACTCTTTATTATCAGGGTGTACCAAGAAGTCAGTCAAGTCGCTTCAGCTGATTCAAAATGCTGCGGCTCGTGTACTAACCAGAGTTAGGAAAAGGGACCACATTACTCCTGTTCTGGCTGCCTTACACTGGCTCCCTATAGAACACAGGATAGAATTTAAAATTCTTCTTCTCGCCTACAAAGCCCTTAATGGGCAGGCGCCATCTTACCTTAAAGAACTCATTATACCCTACTGTCCTACTAGGGCATTGCGTTCCAAGAATGCAGGGTTGTTGGTTGTTCCTAGAGTCTCTAAAAGTACAATGGGAGCCAGAGCCTTTTCTTATCAAGCTCCACATTTGTGGAATCAGCTTCCAGTTTGTGTTCGGGCGGCAGACACTAGGGGTGTAACGGTACACGTACCCGTACCGAAATTATTCGGTACGGGCCCTTCGGTTCGGTACAGGTGTGTACCGAAGTGTACCGAACGAATATAACGTTAAACGTAAAAAATTGAGAACGTGAACAACTTTTTGGAAGTAATCTCAGGTGCTGCGTCGCAGCATTCAGAGTAATTTGGTCACATTGGGTTCAACGCGTCATAGAGCGAGCAAGTCATTTCATTGGATGAGAGGCATACTATGAGAGCTGGTCAGAGGGATGCGTTCAAATGTAGTCAGTAATTTGAGGAACTGTCGAAAATTAATGGCGAACGCAGATAAAGTTGAGCTCGAAAATCCTCCAGCATCATTGAAGTCTCCGGTTTGGGAACATTTTGGTTTCGCAGTTACGTACAAGGATGAAGGACAAAGACAGGTGGACCGAACCAAAGCTGTTTGTCGGCATTGTTCAACTAAAATTGATTACGCGGCTGGCAATACATCAAACTTGCACACTCTTGAAAAGGCATCACCCGAACGTGAATATCACCGGTACCAAAAGAAAAAAGACTGAAGTGCAAACCCAACTCCCGCTAGCATTTAAGCCTCCACCACTCGCAAAAAGATCAGACCGAGCCAAAGCTATTACAAACGCCAAATATCCTTATGTTGCCATGTTAGCAAAGCGCTACCTGGGTGTATCTGCTACCTCTGTCCACAGCAGGAGACATTGTTAGTGCCAGCAGATCTGCCCTTTCGGCAAGCAATGTGGACAAGTTAATTTTTCTTTAAAAAAACATGAAAATACAATGACAAGCAAGTCCTAATGTCAAGCTGGCTGCTTAGGTACTAGTACAGTACAGTTCAAATACAGATTATTTCAGTTCATCGAAAAGCTGCACCTTAATGTTTATTTTATTATATTTTGTATTTATTTGAGTGAATATTCACAGTTTAATAATAATTAAAAACCCAAAACTAATAGTTTATGTTTTGTGAGTACTAGTAGCCTACAGTACAGTTCAAATACAGATTATTTCAGTTCATCGAAATGCTGCACCTTAATGTTTATTTTATTATATTTTGTATTTATTTGAGTGAATACATTATTCACAGTTTAATAATAATAAAAAAAAAATATATATATATATGTTTTGTTCTGTGAAAAAAAATTCTGCTGTACCGAAAACGTACCGAACCGAACCGTGACCAAAAAACCGAGGTACGTACCGAACCGAAATGTTTGTGAACCGTTACACCCCTAGCAGACACCCTATCCGTTTTTAAGAGTGCGCTTAAGACCTTCCTTTTTGATAAAGCTTATAGTTAGGGCTGATTAGATCCAGCCCCTAGTTTTGCTGATATAGGCTTAGTTTGTCGGGGGACATCTTACTTCTTCCTTCTCTCTGTCTATACCTGTGTACTCTCATGTTCCGATTAACCCAGCTTCCCCAAATGTCTTTCTTTTTGGTGTCTATATACGCCGGGATCCGGAGTCATGGATGATCCTGCGCTCCTCTGTCCTGGATCGCGAGCCCTGGATCTTGAGTCGTGGCTGTGGTCCTGGATCATAGGTCCTGGATGGATATCCTCGTGGATTCATCTTACTATTATACACACATGCATTTCCAAACATTTGGACTACCTATGTTGCAAATGTATTATCTTTTCAATTTACACACGGCATCTATTGCACGTCTGTCCGTCCTGGGAGAGGGATCCCTCCTCTGTTGCTCTCCCTGAGGTTTCTCCCATTTTCCCCTTTAAAACTGTGGGGTTTTCTCCGGAAGTTTTTCCTTGTACGATGTGAGGGTCTAAGGACAGAGGGTGTCGTATTGTCATACTGATATTTTGTACAAACTGTAAAGTCCACTGAGACAAATGTAACATTTGTGATATTGGGCTATATAAATAAACATTGATTGATTGATTGATAGAGATGGCATTATAATAGTGCTGGGGGGAAACGATTATTTTGAAAACGATTAATCGGGCGATTATTTGATCGATTAGTCGACTAATCGAACGATTATTTTTCTGTTGTTCAATTCATAAAAAACGTAATGTAAAAAAAACGTAATGTAAAAAAATTTTTTTTCACGATACTGTGTCTCAGGGGATCTTAATATTTAAGAACCTATTAATGTGTTATACCAGATTAACGGAAATAATCTCAGCTAACTGACGATATAAACCATGTTTACCAAAACAAAACACAAGTCTCACCGCCGTAGCTGTCAATCTGATCAAGATACGTGTTCAATGGCATTCAAATGAGAAAAAACGCGGCTGAATCGGTTAATCCATAGGTTTTTAACGTCTATGTATACAAAAATTATTGAATTTATAATCCATAATTCCATTTTAAATCGGAGAGCAAATGCTAGCTGCTAATGGTTGCCACCACAGCTAGCTGCTGCTTCCGGTCAAGCAGCAGTCTCAGTGAGATATAAATATATAAATATCTTTGCGTTTTGGACTAACTTTAAAATATTCCCATGCTTTTGAAGACCTGGGGCGAGATGTTTTCGTTTGAGGGCTTCGTGCGCAATCCTGTGAGGAGGAGTTGGTAGCCGTTTCAGTCTCCATTGTGTTAGAAGTGCGATTGCGAACTGCTTGTTGCTTTGGGTGACCCACGTGTGTGTGGCGTCATACAGTCTATGGTGGCGACGCGTCGACGCGGAAATATGTCGTCGACGATATTTTGACGTCGACGCGTCGCTACAGCACTACATTATAACAATATATGAAACAGTCATTTTTAAAGTCATTCTCTTTTATTTCCTAACAGTGTCAGTTTTATTTAATACGACGGCAAAGTGACAATATATGAATACATTCTGTTTCTTTTGCTCTTTGTGCAGAATCGTAACTTTGTTTTATCGATAATACAAATAACTTTACTATTGAATCTGTTAAGATTGTTTAAGTGTCAAAAGTACCAACAGGCAATATTTGTACCCTGGTTATGAAATATTTAAAATAGTAATATAAATGATATATTAGCTTTTATATATTCATTTACTGTCATGTAAATGCTAAATATATCTCCCGCTGGCAAATGTTCATTTAGTGACAATATGATTTTTCTGCATTCAATTATGATAAAGTAGATCAATATAATATCATAGATAAACATACAACCATGTGTATTGTATTTCAATGAATGTCTTCGATGTGTTTTATTTGAGAACAGCTTCTGTTAAAATAAATTATCTTTTTGTAATGCTGGAGTCAGGCCAGGTATTAATCATATGTCATGCTGAAAGAAATGTAATTGTATACATTTTAAACAATAGGGAGGGTTAAACACACTGTAGTTTTCATGTACAAATATAAATAAAATGTAGGAATAAATACAAATTGGCCATAAATACTCCAGGGTCCAGAATGGTCCATCTTCACTGCTCTGTATGTCAGGAGGGTTGGATTCCCTTAACGTTCTTCTCCATTTGGACTTCCCTTTTTTAAAACTCTTTCCCATATCCATCATGATCTTTTGGATCATTTCCACTTGGGAAGAACGTGCCCGTCTCTTTCTTTAGTTCAGGCTTTTACTTTGTAATCCCCAAGCTGGCATTTAAAGCGGTTACAAAAAAGTTACTGGCTGTCTTTGATTCACTAGGCTGAACCAATTTCACTCTTTTTGGAAGTTAACAAATGTTTCCTTTACTTTTCCAAGTGCTGATGTTGTGTACATCCCAAATATCCCCAGCCAAAGACCCTCCACAGGGTGACACACAGCAGGTGTTAGTCCATTAGCCAGTCTTTCCATGCAGCTACTGGGAGCCACATCAGCTCCACCTGTGCCGAGGTCTACAGAGGACATGATAGCTCCAGGTCACTGACGGGGGGCCGCAGGCAGCCCAGCACGTCCCCCAGAGAGAAGAGCTTCCTGCTCCCAGCCGATAGGGGCTTCCTGAATTTCTGAGACTGTCCCTCACCAACGAGACCAAGTCAGCTGTCCTGGAGAGGAAGAGCAGAGAACAAGACATTCGTATCTGGAATTATAGCCTTTTTACTAAACTACTGTTCTTTCTGTTTAAATGGATGTCTCAGACACATTAGAATATTGCTGTCCTGTATAAAACATATGGTTTTCCTCATCAGCTCGCCCTTCACCTGCATCTTATCCCCTCATCAGCCTCATATGCTGGCCCAATTCCATTTATTTCCCTGCCGGACCATGAACGTTGCAAAGTTGATCTACTGCTTAATTTGTTATTTTGTAACCTTCTTTGACAATAAATCATTGATCTGAAGAAGGAGTCAGCCTCAGCACTATGACTCCAGATAGTGTCTTTCAAAACGTGGGTGGAAATATTGTTACCTTATTGTGCAGAGGACTTCATTAACACTCCAACAGTCCTCCCTGTTTGCTAAAGTAGACCTGTTAGCCTTCAACCTGCTTCCTAGCTAGCTCACCTCCAGTCTACTAGACTCCAACCTGCTAACCTCCAGCCTGCTAACTTACTGCTAAGTTAACTTGCAGTCTGCTAACGTTCAGTCTGCTAACCTCCAACCTACTTCTCTTTAAACCTAAACATCTCATTGTATGATCAGCAATTTTCCGATCCTGGGTTCTAAAACTCTGGGTTCTAAAACATTGAATATATGACATGACATTTGACATTTACTTTAAGAAGTTTCTATTTCCATGCTTGAAAAGGATTAATTTTATCATAATAAATACAGTAGTTTTTCTCTCACCTTAACTCTGTGTGTCCTCCCGTTCTGTGCGGGCTCTCCTGAGACCACTGACTTCTCCTGAGAGTCCACGCTGCACCTGGTGGAAACTGCCGGCTCGTTCTGGTTTTCCCAGCGGGCAAAGCCTTTATTTTTGGATGATTTTCTGTGAGTCCTGTATTTCATTTTTGGGAAGGTGTGGGAGCCGCTGTCTGTGCCCCCCCAGCTGTGTTCTGGCCATAGGGGATCAGTCTGGGTTGCCTGGCTTGCGGTGGCCCTCTGCAGGCGCACTGAGATCCTCTGGGCGGAGCCCGTCATCAGGGTGATGGACTGAGGGGCCAGACCTGGTCCTGGTGATGGGACAGCTGGGAACTCAAACACCTCATCCTCATCTGAAGGAGAGAACCCAAGAAAATAATATAACATTATGCTTGATATCACTTACACATAAAGCCTTTTTAACTACTGGATTTATGAATCACCAAAAGGTGAAATGACCTTCACAGGTGGGCAGAGCCGGGCTGCTGGGCAGGGAGCTGTGGGTCAGTCTGGCTGGAGAAACATTTCCAAGAGAGCCGGAGCGGATCAGCTTCCTGCAGGCCAGAACCAGCAGCTCCCGACATTGTTTATGACAGTTTACACCACAGTCTGCAGAGTGAACACACACACATATTCAGGGCAATGTGCTCTAAGCTTAAAAAAAGGCATATTATATCCCTTTTGTTCTAAATTGCTCATAATGATTTATTTCATAATAGTCCATTACTTTTGCAGTCAGGTCATTTTAAAGGTCCTATGTCATGCTTTTCCGGTTATTACCAGTCCCCTTGTGTGTTATGAAGGTTTGTATGCATGTAAACCAGGGATCACCAACTAGCCTACATTTGTCCAAGGGTGCTAGTGGAGCACGCTCGGGTACTGCGGACCGCATAAAGCTTAGCAGACTCTTCACGCTAAGGAAGGATCACTTCTAGGCAGGGTTGGGAGGGTTACTTTGTAAATGTAATCAGTTACTGATTATAGGGCCGGGACTCGATTAAAACAATTAATCTAATTAATTAGAGGCTTTGTAATTAATTAATCGAAATTAATCGCATTTTTAATCGCATATAAATATTTGACCTGAGAACAGTGAGAAGCAATTTTTTTCACATGGATTTTAGTATACCATTAGGCGCATTCACACCGCAGTACTTTTCCCACAAAGGTTCATGAGAACTTAGTTCATGAGAACAAATGAAGCCGCTGACGTCACTTCTTCTGCTTCTGCTTTGGGTTTACTGGCAGGCCGCAAACCACTTCACGGCATATACTGCCGCCCAAAGTCCCCGGCCGGAAGTCCCCGGAGTTGGGGATTGGCTTCAGTAGAAGCTGCTGGGAGTCCCAGCAGCTTCTACTGAAGCCTTCCGAGTAAATCGCCAGAACGCCGACACCTCCTCATCTCCACCGCTCCCATGTTTTATTTTGTGTTGCCATAAGTTAGTCTCTCTGCGTTTCTGCGCTGGGCTAATGCTAATGCTAATAATGCTAATGCGAGGATAATAAAATGGCGGCTTCACCAAACTTTTTGGGAGTTTTACGGGGCGTGGTTTGCAATCCGCCCAGCCAATCAGAAATATAGCTCTTTTCTCACAAGAGAGCCGTACGAAAGTCCCTGCTCTCTAGCAGCTCTCTGCTCTCTAGCAGGGACTTTCGTGGGGGTAAAAAGGTTCTCATGAACTAATTTTAGTACCGGCTCTTTTTGGTGTGAACCATAGACTGTATGGTGTGAACGCGATAAAAGAGGCTAACGTCCACGCTAGCTGCTATATGTTTTGCATTGAGGTGATACTTGAGGCTTGATGTGCTACGGTGATATGCGAATTTCTTTTTGCATAATTTGCACACAACCGTGCTCTTCTCAACGCTTCCATCCGTCAGTTTTTTAAAACAACATTTCCCACTGTTGTTCACTGTGGTTTGTTGTTGTCTGAAGTCATGAACGTTAGTTGGTGCTCCAGTATAATCGGTACGCCTGAAACTCATCCAGTGAGAAACGTTCCGCGGTGCAAAAATAAGTGCGATTAAAATGCGTTAATTTTTTTAACGCGTTAATTTTTGTGTAATTAATTAATCTTAATTAACGCGTTAAAGTCCCGGCCCTACTGATTACTGAATACATGCTCTGAAAGTAATCAGAATACAGCTACAGTTACGTGTCTTAAAAAAGTAACGTATTTGTGAGGGAATATTTCTGTCTTTACTCCTAGATATTTAACCTTTCTGCCTGTTGACATATCACCAACCCTGAGTCTGTTATCTCCCGTAAGGAATGTGCTAATGCAGTCATATGGTGTTATTCTCAGTTTTATGGCCTGACCTATCGGTCACAGAGGGTGTATGACTGTGAGAACGCTGGCTTCTAAGTACCACAGACAAGTGATTCAGTATTTACAGATGTTGGAGATATCTCCAGTGTTCCCAGGTGTTTACGCACCATCCCCCAATATGTGGATTAACTCTCTGTAAACTAGTTAAAAGGTCTACCGAGAGAGAGGCTGGTCAGATTTGACATGGCAACCCACCCGTGCAGTCAGAACCTCTGGCTGTGTGACTTGTGATGTGAATTTCTCCGGCCGATACTTGTAATAAACATCAGTGTTTGACATCAGAACTTCTGCTCGTCCCGTGTCTCCTTCATGAGTCGGTGACTCCCACTGCATTGCTACACAGAAGTTTCCTCCACAGTATTCAGATGACTTTTAGAATACTTTATTTTTCCATAACAGATGGGTATGTTTCGGTGAACAGGAGACACTTGTTTTACTGTTTTAATGGCTTATCAAGAACTCAAACACAACATCTTGGTGTCGTTCTGGACAGCTCTCTCATCTGTACCACACATAAAAAACATCACCCGGACTGCATTCTTTGTACTGTCTTAAAATCTTTCCTTGGAATATGTTATGAAATGTAAGGTATCCTTGGGTGCTTTGAAAGGCGCCCCTAAATAGAATGAATTATCATTATTATTTATTATCTGAAACGATGTAATAACTTTTAAAACTTTTTCCAGTCACTTGCCCCATGCATTCAGCAGCAAGCCATTCACTTTGATTTGATCCCGTTATGAAATGTCAACATTTCGACAATAAATAAATGCTACATAAACGTTATCTTAAACATTTTATCTAACCATCTCCGTTTCTAACTTTCAATATATTTTAAAAGAGATCTCTCTCTCATCTGCGTGCGGGGGCGGGGCCTCACAGACACGCTGCATCTCTCTCTCGCTCACAGACATGCTCCAGCGCTGTGCAGTGTGCACACAGTTCTGCCGGTAATGAATATTACATTTTATCAGTAGCGTGGCGTGGGGAAAAAAATAGGGGAAGCCAATAATACGTCCTTTCTTTTGGGTCGGGGGTGTGGTGGTCAATGTAATAACGTAACCAGATGAGTGATTACAGCACCCGGTATCATTTTACACACATTTGTATCATATGCAGGACTTACACACGCCTGTTATCTAACCGACAGGTCCGCACGCACTCTCCAGCCGAAACTCTAATAAGCATTCATTCACAAACTAAATCAGGAGACCTTTAACGTTTTACGTCCGATTCGCTCCTTTTTTCCTCGCTGTACACAGCTCCAGTTTGGGCATTGGCCTGTCTTCAGATTGTATTTGTTGTTGCTGCTGTAGTGGAAGTTTAGTACAATTATTTTTGATGAAATACTCCAAATCTCCACCCTCCATAATTGCACTTGATTCAGTTGCTTGCTACTTTCTAACGGCGGTGAGAGTGGTGCAGTGACGCTATCTATCTTCTATCGATTAGATTTATGATTCGAAAATTATAAAAGTAGTGTGGATATTATCCGACTGAACAAAACGTGCATTTATCTAACAGGTTCGTTATCCACTGACCTTATTTCGAGCTATTTTCCTAAATCCTAAGGAGAAATCCCATTGCTTTTTTGTCGAGGGAAACATGAGGGAAACCGAGCGCAGCTTACTTCCGGATTTTAGGACGCGTCACTGAAACACTAAGTTGATGCGATTTGATTGGATTGTGAGGCAAGGAAAGCCAGCCGCCTCTGGCTTCCCTTGGCATGGCCCTGACGGCCCGTCCACACAGCGGCGTGCGTTGAAGCTTCCAACGCTTCTGCCCATTCACTTTGAATGGGGTGACCTCACTTTTAGCCGAACTGCATTTTGGGAAGCGACGTGGAGCGTTGCTGGCGTTGCTCGCTTCAAACGTTGAGCAATGTTCAACTTTTGACGCCTCGATGGAGGCGTCAGCCAATCGAATCATATGCCAGTACAAGCTCTAGCCAATCACACCGCGTGCTTGTGTGTCTGGGGCGGGAGATTCATGTGATTGGTTGTTGGTTGAGTGTCAGACACGCCCGCCGGCAAGCGCCAACGCACGCCGCTGTGTGGACGGGCCTGGACTGACAGGTTGGCAGGGGCATGAGGTGAGCCTTGTCTGATTGGTCAATCCTTCAATTTTTTTCACCAAGGGAAGCCAATTTCGGCTGGCCTCCTCTCGCAACAGTGAGTGCAATCTACTGTTTCACCATAACATCTAGAGGGGCGCTGTTTGTAAAATACTCAATGAGAATGGGGGAGAGATGGACCGGCAGCAACACACAACAAAGAATTTCCGAAACTAAACAAAGTGTTTTTATTTATTTATTAAAATTATAACTACAATCCGAAAAAACAGGGGAAGCCTGGCTTCCCTTGGCCTCCAGGAGAAAACGCCACTGCATTTTATGAGGATATTTTTCCACCAATAATTCCAATAAGTATTCCAAAATGTATTCACTTCAGGTTTAGGAAAGTAACTGTAATCAGATTACTCGTTTTTCAAATGTAACGCCAGCTGAATACAGTTCGCCTACTTGATTTTTGATATTCCGTTACAACCCAACCCTGCTTAGGCTACTGAAGAAACACACTCCTCAATGTCAGTTTCGGTAGTTTAATGACAAGGATGACGACACCCTGAAACAGAGCAATTCAGCAAGATAAACTGACAAAGTACTACATCCATGCATGTCATGACCAATACAAATATATACAACGACACAGAGTATAGATACACCAAACAATAGTGGAAACAATCTTACATGAATGAGTGGATGAACGTCTCAACTCGAGGCGGAGTGAATGAACAATGTTTGAACTAAAATGGACGCTCGGCACTACCGGGTCAGAGCACGGCATATCCGGACAGCGACAGCAGTGTCGCTGCCCTCTAGTGGCCGGCGATAAACTATTCATCCCCCCCCAGACCGGAAAACTATGGGCCGGAATAGATTAACGGTCTAAATCCCGTATCCAGCTGCCGGACTCGGGCTCGTAACATGCAGGCGGCCTGGCCGAGTAGGCTGGGGCAGCATCGGCGGCGACTGCGGCACCGGGAGCGGTGCGCCCAGGAAGGCACCCGTAGGAACGGTGGGGTCAGAGGACGCCTCACCAGCAGGCGCCGGTGGGGAAGCGCCCATAGCCGAGTCGCGGGGTCCAACAGCCGGCCGGCAGTGTCAGACGTCCCGAACCGTCAACCCTGACCCGATACTGGTCGTGGCCCGGCGACTCCACCACGATCCCTGACCTATCCCATTTGTGGGGGCTCGGGCCTTGCTGGTTCTGGAGGAAT